CAGCGGGAGGGATGGTGACCGGGAAGCCCCTTCCTCTGGACCAGGAGCAGTGGGACGATGGCTCAGAAGCCCCTACCTCTGGGCCAGGAACAGTGGGACTCAGTACCTTGCTCTGGTGGTCTGGTATCCTCTGCGTCTTTGTAGTGTGGAATCAGGTGGCTGCCTGTCTGCAGCCGGGTGATTCGGTGTCTTCCGCGGGACTCAGGACCTCGGTAGGGCATGCACAGACCTGCCTGTCTGCAGCGGGCTGATTTGGCATGTGTTCCATGCGACTCCATAGTGGTACAATTCTAATAGCATTATATGACACTTAGGATAGTCTTACACAGTTACTTGGACTTCTCTCTTTTTTGTCTAATGATGAGATCACATGCCTTTCTAAAAGCCATATATTTGATCATTTGGAAAATATTTACCTATGCTGAAGTGTTGGCAAATACTATGAGTTTAATATGGTTTGTCCCCTGTGAAATGCATGTTGAATTTTGATTTCCATGGTGGTATTGGAAAGTGGCCTTAAAGGTGTGATTAGGTAGTTGAACTGGATTAATGTCTTGCTCACAGGTATGAAGTAAACAATGACGTGACTCTTCTGTGTCCCTCTACTTGCCCTTCTGTTTCTCCACCATGTTATGACAGCAGCACAAGGCCTTTGCCAAGTGCAGCTGCTTGATCTTGAACTTGTAGTATCCAGAACCAAGAGCTAAACTAACTTACCTTTATAAATTACCATTCTGTTTAGCAGAGAAAAAAGACTAAGCAGAGGAGACTCAAATTTCATAAGTCATTCAAGGTAGTAGATTTGAGTTGGGCAATAGCAGAGAGGTGGAAAGTTATTTCTCCATATGGACCTTCTGCAAAAGGTGCTCACCTATGAAAGTCTCCTAGCAGGAGAACCTGCTAATTGTTTTTCCAGACTGTAAGAAAAAACTAAAAAGTGTGGGATGATCAAACAACCTAGACCTAGTAAGGCTTAGAGCAAATTGGCACCTGGGTCTATTGCACCAAAATCAGCTGATGAATTTACCTGAAACTACAACTGCACCACAGGAAGTTCCAGTAGCAAGTTCCAATGTTCAGTTCTGTGATTGTGGGATAGACTTTGGAGACAAGTGTACCTATGGAGAATCTAGCTTTCCTGTAGAATGGGTTTGACTTGTCTTCTAGTGGTAGTGTGGACTCCCTTTGTTACAAAGATTTAGCCTTGGACCTAGCCATCATATATTCAAGTCACAGTGTGTAAGCCACTAATTAATCCACATAGGCTACCAGTCTCTGACATCAATCAGTTCAGCCAATCCTTCCTGAAATAAGATATTAAGTTTGGTCTTTTGCCTAAAGGATATATTTGGGTAAAAAATAATCCCTTTCCCCTCAGAACTGGTGGATTACCAAAGTATGTGGCTGGCTGAGGCACTGTGGGTAGGAAAGGGAAGGAAACGGTATCTGGATATACATCAGATTGAATTGGCAGAAGGCATTTTATGTAACAACTTGCCACCAAGTGGAATGGTTGATCCTCTGAAGGATGGTATCCTTTCAGGGGCTCATGCTTGTCTCTCTCTCTCTTTCTCCCTCTCTCTCAAAAAATTATAAGCACACATTAATTGTCTGAAGTAATAGGTTTCTTTATGATCATTTTATATATACCTATAATATACTTTGATTGTATCACCCTTCCCAATGTTGGGGTCTCTTGCTGGCAGGTCAAACACTGAGCAGAAGCAGAATTAGCTCAGCCTGCATGGGAAGAAACACAGTTGTTAAATCAATCAATGCAAAGTTCCCATCTCAGACACTATGGTTAGCTCATGGTCCAAATATGGGTGACCAAGGATAGAACTAGATGACATCTCCTGCACAAGTTTTCAGTTTTCTTGATTTAATGCCTCTTCTGTTCTGAATATTCTTTGGTGAGAATTACTGTATAATATAAAATGCACAAGAATTCTTATCCTTTGTTCCTACTTCTGTAGGACCATCTACATTCCTCTTCCCCAGACCTCTCTGCTCCCAGTCATCAGGTCTGTACAAATTTCTGCACCAATGACATGGTGGCCAGGCAAAGGGATTATAAGATTTTTGAAACCTTTTCCATACTTTTGTGGAAAAGTATGTTCATGTCTAAATCCTCTCTGAAATGCTAAAACACATAGGATGGGAGGCTCTTAGAAAAAGTGGCATCCAGAAAATAAATTTCTGGAGTTTGTGAGGGAGGCATTTGGGAAAGGGGGAGCAGAGAGGAGGAGGAACAGCGAGAGCAGGAGCAGGGGGAGGGAAATGAGGAGGAGGAGGAGGAGGAAGAGAAGGAGGAGGAGAAGGAGGAGAAAGAAGGAGAAGGAAAAGGAGAAGGAGAAGAAGAAAAGGAAGAAAGAAGAAGAAGGAAGAAAGAAGAAGAAGAGTGATAAAACAGAAAGAAGGTGAAGGAGGGGACAGGAGGGATCTGGAGAGGACAGAAGGGAAGAGAAAAGAGGAGAGGAGAAATCAAGAAAATGAGATTATTTATTAAGCCAAAGGAGAGAGAGTGGTAGAACACAGAAGGTTGATAACCAGGGGGATTGTGACAATATTACAGAGCAGGGCAGTTCTAGAAACTGAGATCTCCATTCAGACAACCCTCTTCACAATCAATACCTGAAGTTTTTACAAAAAGAGTTTCCTTATATTTATTTCACAAATCACTAGGAAACTAGTGTAACTCAGCTTGGTAGATATAAATTAAACATTTGATTTGTGAATTTTCCAGTAATTTATAAATAATGTATATGTACAGTGTTATTGAAGTGAGTAAAATAATCCACTGCAATCTCTCTTTTTATGAAAGAGGAGCTATAAACTTTTCATTCTTTATGCATGCCTGTTCTCTAAAGTGGTTTTTTTCTCTAGCATATAAAAGTAGACTTAGTATACAGTTAGCAATAGGACAGTCTTTATGTCTTTGTATGTACCTCTTTTGTTAAAATGGTAGCAATAGAATGAATATAGGCTATAATTGTTCTTACTAATAATTGGTAGTATGTGTGGCATTTAGAATCACTATACCTAGATTCTAATTCCAGCTCGACAATTGATTAGCTACATACCTATGGGTCAGCTATGTAACCTCTGGAAGTTTCAGTTTTCTCGAGAGTAAAATGGAAATAAATATTAGCCATCAGAAGAGTTGTAATAAGGATTGTATGAAATAATCTATGGAAAGCTTAGTGTACATGGGTTAGAATTCAACAAATATTTTATTATTATTACTATTTTTAATGTAAATATTACAAAATTATGAAATCAGAATATTACATTAAAAATTAGTGAATTTGGTGATCATTTATTATTGTTGCTTGGAACATGAGTACATATAAAAATTTACTCTTTATATTTTCAGGAATCCTTAAATACATTACTTAAACAACTAGAAAAAGAAAAAAGGAGTCTTGAAAGTCAAGTGAAAGACTACGCACTTAGACTGGAACAAGAGTCAAAGGTTTGCTTTTATTCTATACTACACAATTCCTTTCAAGCTGCCATTATTTTAGTGTGATCTGCAAACCTATTGCACAATTTTCATAAAATGTTACATAGCTCTTTCTTATAGTATTTTAGAAAAATAGAATAAATGAACTTCGACTTAATATTTGTCTTGCAGGTATGGCAAATCTTTTTTAATATTTGATTCTTTACTTTTTATCTTTTATCTAGGTTTACCAGAGGACCAACAAAGAACGGCGTACATACCTAGCTGAAATGTCTCGGGTAACTTTTTTGTTTTATTTCCAAATTTTATAGATTTCCTTTGACTATAAATTATCTTTTTCACTTTTCTAGGCTTGTCTGTTTGGTAGAGGAACAGATATTGGAATTATGGGAGAAAAGATACTGAGTTTCTAAATATGGATAGTCAAAAGGAAAATATTTAACTTTTATGAAGAGATAAAACAATGTTATGTACATGTACCAATTTCCCATGATGAATATAATCATTATGTATGGCAAACACGTACTAATAAAAATAAAAAATTTTTAAAACCTTGAAAAAAGAGGTAAAATAGTCTCTTTAATTAAGAGATCATTTGCATATTTTCTTCACTTGTCCTTCTAGTTTCATCTATAATCCCTAGAATTCAAATAGGTAAGCCTCTATTTCTTTGCTATCTGGAAATTCCAGGCATTTCACTTTGTAATTATGCATGGTAAAATCTAAAGTAAACTCAGCTTTGCAGCTGGTAGAAAGTGTGTACTTATTATGAGATACAAAAGTGATCAGTAAATTATGTACATGTATTTTTCAGTTTTAACTTGCCTTTCAGTTTTAAGTCAGTATTATAGAAGTTATTTTATGTTGCCAGAGCTATCTTTTATTTATAGCTCCTGATGTCATAGTTAAAGAGACCATCTTCATCTCAATATTTCATAACATTCATCATATTTTAATACGTGTATGGCCTAATATTTGATGTTTAATATTTAATCTATGTTAATTTTATTTTGGTATATGTTGTAAGATTAGAGTAGGAGTTCATCTTTCAATGTGTGGTATCCAAACAGAAATGTTCAAGGAGCAGTTGGATATATGAATCTCGGGAAAATGTTAAAGATTAGAGATAGAGATTTTGAAATTATTTGCATATACGTAGTAAGTGAAGTTATGAGAATGAATGCATGGCATCAGGGAAGATATATAAGATGGAAAGAAAAAGATAGTCTAGGCTGTAGCTCTGAAGAACTATGGCATAGTCAAGGGAGCGAAAAATGAGGATTGGCATTCTTAAAGTGTTACAAACACCCAACAGCAGCACACATGCCATAGGTTCACCACCACTGATAGAGGGGTTGATAAAAGAATTCAGAGGAAGAATTAGGTGTGAATATTGAAGACAATAATGTGATATGTAGAAAAATTTGAAATTGAAAATTAGGGCTTCAGTGAGTAAAGGGGAGCTTGGACTTATATTATTGACCAAATTTACGTAGGAAATGAAATCAAGATAAGATTAATCCTTGTAGTCTTACTGTCCATAAGATGGACAATAAATTCAAATGTCCTGGTCTTTGATGCTGGGTTGAAAGCACTGCCTCCTCCTGTAGCACAGGTGTCCTTATGCTTTCACTCTGCCTAGAATGTACTTCTCTTCATACATGCCAAGTCTGCTCCCTTCAAGGTTTAGTGTAGACACCACCTCTTTTTTGAGGCCTTGATATGATGAAAACGCTGCAGACTGTGGAGCCATCACAAATTTATATTTGAATCCCAGCTCTAAATGTGCTGTTCTGTGATCTGTCTGGGTCTCAATTTATTTCCTTGTCTGTAGAAAAGAAGAATTAGTATCTGAAGTTAGTATTAATGTCAGAATTCCCTGAGTGTTTAGATATAATGCCTGTGAAGTACTGAATGAAATGGCTGGCACATAATAGGTTCTCAATGGTGAAGATCATTTCCCCGTTTTTCTTTCCTGAATTCAGTAGCTTCTCTCTCCATGTCAGGGCGTCAGAATTTCTGCTTACCTTCTGATGATTGCTGAGAAATCCATTTGCTTCATTCAGCTGTTGGTTCCTCCCTGAGGTCAGCCTGAGGGCCCAACTCTTGTAACACTTAGTGCAAATAATAGCATATAGCTAATGTTTAAAACTATTTATCAAACTGAACATAATACAGAAAGTTATGTAGATAATGAAAAGCCAAAGTCATTAAGAAAGAAGTGATCTATATATAAAACTCCATTGAAGGATATTTTTAAGGTTAAAAGTAAAGTTCTTTTGCCCTTGAAGCATTCAGTTACCTTTGTTTATCTGAAAAATTCATTTAGGCAGGATATTCCTACTCTGGCTACACAGGATCGCTAAACATACAATCAAAGCCTGTTTTAACAGCTTCTCTGGAGGATGTTAATCCTGTCCCTAGTATAAATGTTAATAAGGATTTTCACTCTAGAGTGATTTGTCAATCTTTATAGTAAAAAACAACGGTTCAGGCCATGTGGATACTATGGTGACTAGAAAGGTTAATGGATGATTTACAATTTTTTCTATGCTGAATACATAAATAATTGATTCTCTAGTAGATACCTAGAGATATTTGCTGAGTTTGCTGTTTATACTTATGCTACTGTCTGGGATTTTGTATCAGTCTTGATGCACTGTTTTGACTAAAATGGAGTTTCTCCATCTAAGGATTCTTCATATTTACAGTGTGCATAGAGTAGACATACTACTTTTTAAAGAATTCACAAGTAGTTTCACTGCTCCCAGCACAGAGGAAGGGGCTTTGGGGACCCCTTTCGGCCACTCCCAGCCAGGAGGAAGGGGCTTCCAGGCTGCTGTTCCACCACTCCCAGCCCAGAGGAACAGGCTTCCAGGCCGTCGTTCCCCTGCTCCCAACCCAGAGGAGGAGAGCCACGCGGGCACCAATAGCACCCCCCCACACCAGTGAAAATAAAAAGACACATAAAGAAGTCTCAAAACCAGACATCCGGATGACCTACAGCAACCTCAAAGGGAAATGAGATTGAACACTCTGATACTCAACCACCTGGACTCCCTGAACTGGCAACAAAAGAGGATTTGGAAAAAATGAAATCAGAAATAATTTCTCGGATGACAGCAGAGATTGTGGCCATAGTGCAAGACATAATTAATAAATCTAGAGAGGACACAGTTACAAAAATAGAGGAGCTGAGGAATATGATGGAATCTCAACATAGGAAACAAATGGAATCCATAGCACAGATACAAACAGATTTCCAGGAGATTGAAAACTCCACTGAAAGTCTACACAGCAGAATGAGCCACTGTGAGGACAGAATTTCAGATACAGAAGATAAGATTGCAATTAGTGACTAGGAAAAGAAAAATTGCTTCAAAATTGTAAGGGAGCATGAGAAATCAATCCAGCAGCTGCATGATGCATGATGCAAAGAAAAATAACATAAGACTGATTGGAGTCAATGAAGAAACAAGAGAGAATACAGATGAC